AGAAGGAAAATGGTGTTTGTGGAGCTCCTTTGTTAGGAAAATGAAGGAGAAGAATGTGAATGCGTACAAAAATGACGTGGACATATACTTGACAGACCCTATGGAGGATCCAACTCGGTCAAATTTTGATGTTTTAGATTGGTGAAAAAATAATGCAACTAATTACAAGGTTCTCTCACTAGTTGCAAGAGACATTCTTGCCATTCCTGTTTCAATAGTAGCCTCAGAATCTACTTTTAGTACTGGAGGCCGCATCCTCGATCCCTTTAGGAGTTCATTGAGCCCCAAGATGGTGGAGGCATTGATTTGTACACAAAATTGGCTGCGTAGTTGTGAGCACATCAACCTTATTGACTTGGAAGAATTTAATGAATATGAAGATATTGAATTAGGTAATCTTTTTACGTTTTACTTACTTTTTTTTAATTTTATTTCATCTCCCTGTTGTTTATTTTGTAGTTCTAAACTTGATTCTGATGATTTTTTTTGTTATGTTTTCTTCTCTAGATTTGTCAAATTCTGTTGCAACACATGAGGGGCAAGTTGGGAATGAAGATGCTATTATTCTGGATTAAACAGTTTGGAGTGGACTAACTTTTATTTCATGTCCTATTTTGCGACTATTTTTATATGGACTGTTTATCTTTATATGGATTATTTATTCTAGATTAAACTGTTTATTTTATATGGACTATTATGCATGTTAGAAGGGTACCAATCTAATTGAAATATTCTAGTTGTTTTTATATTAGTTATCTGCTTTCACCAACCTGAGTAACCCGAGTAACCCAAGTAACCCTACCCTACCCGAGGTCACCCGAAACGTTGGGGGTTTGTTGATTTAAGAAAGTGTCGCGGCTCAAAATTTTCTCAACCCGCACTGGTCGGGTAGGCTCAATTTTTCGGCTCAACCCTACCCTACCCGGCCGATTTACACCACTAGCCCTGACGATAGCCTAGTGAATCAGTGGTCCAACTAAGAAGAAAAGGCTACAGCTTGGTTGATGTTGATAATGTACATTGTCGCTGATTTGGGCCAAGCGTGGTGGATCATTCTAAATAAAGAGAGAGACATTAATATATTTTTTTATACTAAAAATAATATTTTAATAAAATTATTAAATGTATTTTTAAAAATAATTTTTGTTTGAAATTGAAAACGTTTTTATTTTCATTTTCATACAAAAAACAAAATTATTTTGGAATGAATTTCAAACGCACCCACTATGGGATCAGAATTATGTAAAATTGTATGGGATCAGACGTACATAGTATAGGCTATGGTTCTATATTGCTACGAATGGGGCACCTGGGGAAGGCTGGTGACCTTATGGCAAGTTAGAACCGTGAAGTCACCTAGCTAGGAACATGGACCGTCGCGAATAGAAATTGCGGAGCATGGAGGAATATTAGATACTAAGGATCTGTTCTTTTAGAGTGTGACTTGAGTATAATTTTTTAGTTGAATTTGAATTATAACTTGAGTTGAAGTTGTAACTTGAATAAAGTTGAGTAAAGTTGAATAAAATTAGAACTTAAAAGAACGTGAACTTGAATAAAGTTGTAACTTGAGTTTCAATTTTTTTTGAGTTTTATTGCAAAAGAACAACCCTAAAAGTCTCGCAACACTATTTGGTTATAAGTCTTTGGGTACCCTTTCCTTGCAAATCGGTTTTCGCAAGAATGAGTTTTACCTAATTGGTTTGTAATGTTAGACATTTTTCTCTTAGAAAAATATATAGAGTGTTGGGTGGCATTTTCGGAATCATTAAATGAGCAATAAATTCAAAGGCTCGTCGGAGCACAAGCTCTCCCGAGCCCAAGCTCGCCGGAGCCCAAGCTCTCCCAAGCCTAAGTTCTCCGGAGCCCAAATTTGCCGGAGGCCAAGCTCATTTGAGCCTAAGGGCTCGTTGCTCGGAGCCCAAGCTCTCCCGAGCCCAAGTTCTCCGAAGCCCAAATGTGCCGGAGCCCAGGCTCTCCCGAGCCCAAGCTCTCCCGAGCCCAAATTTGCCGGAGCCCAAGCTCTCCCGAGCCCAAGTTCACTGGAGCCCAAATTTACCGGAGCCCAAGCTCTCCCGAGCCCAAGTTCTCCGGAGCCTAAATGTGCCGGAGCCGAAAGTTCAAAGGTCGTGCGATGTTATCAAGTGAAGTAACTGACGCTAATTGAAGACATTGAATGGTTGAAAGTTAATTCTCATTGATTATTTATCAGTTTTAACTCACAAAAAAGGTGAAGAGCCTCTTTGTATTTAAGAGAGAATAAACTCTCGAATTAATGGGAAAATTAAACTCCCTCAATCCTAATGTACTATAAATTCTCTCAGTTTGAGAGGGAAAGGGACACTCATTTTTCTAAATACAATTGCCTTGTGATTGTCTTCATTTTATTATTTCTTTCACAGGTTCTTTGTATTCTTCACGTGTTCTTCCAATTTCCTTAGATAATTTGCTTATTCAATCCAAACTATTTGTCTAAGGACGTTGGATAAGTGTTGGACGAAATTTTGCTCCAACATTTTTGGCGCTAGAATGAGGGCCCTAGTGTGATTAACATCCACTGGTTCTCACCGGCACTTAAATTTTTCTATCTCATTGCTAAGTCATTTTCAGGTATGGCAAGTGACCAAGTCTCAAGTGCTCAACGTACCCATACTAAAGGAACCCAAACAAGGGGACCCGATGCTAATCTTGAAAGAGCACCACGTGCTCCTCGTCCACCAACACGCACTGACAGGATCGAAGCACGAGTGGACACATTGGTAGGGATGGTGAATCAGCTTATCACTACCTTTAACACAATTCGTCTAGCAAACAACCAACAAAGTGGGCAGGCAAATTCTCAGAGCGCTAGGAGTGGGCGTAGCCATCGTCGGATCCAGTGAAATGAAGGTGAGGGTCAATCTAATAGGGATCAACCAAAGGACTTGCCCGAGCCGTAGGAACCATGTCAGGCACCTGGGTGCCGGAATGCTTTGTCACGGATTGGGAGTCATCACGATGTAATTGAAAGAACTAGGACATCGGTGTTTGACAAGATGGAAGCTAACCGTAATAGTGAAGAAGTTGATAGTACTTGGACACCTGGGTCTGATGATTTGACCACTACTGATTTGCGGGATCGACTCAACGCACGACGGAATGTATAAGCAATTGTACCTATGCTCACAAACAACCAGACAACTCAAAACAGGAGTAGAAGGAGAGCCAAAATACCACGATCTTCTCGTAGCCAAGTAAATAAGGTGAGACAGAACCAGAACCGACATGATAATCAAGGAGGCATGAGTCAATCCAACAGGAGCACCCGTGAGGAACAACTCGAGCAACAGTTTGAAATGATACGAAGGCGAATGGATGACATAGAAGCCAACAAGAATTTGCCAGAAAGTGTAAGAGACCTGTTAGATGAGACAGAGCCGCCATTCACTAAGGACATCATGGCAACAGAATTTCCTGCTGCTTTTAAGATGATTCCCATCAAACAGTTTGATGGGAAAGAGAATCCAACAGGACATATACATGGATATAGCACATGGATGCGAATTCAGGGAGCCACACAAGCTCAGATGTGCCAAGCATTTTCTTTAACGCTTACTGGGCTGGCGCTTCAATGGTTCCAACAATTAGAGCCAAGGTCAATTGGTTCATTTAACCAGCTAAAACAACAATTTGTAGGACGATTTGTGATAGCAAAAACTCGCAGGAAAGATAAGCTTTATCTGTTCTCCCTTAAGCAAGGAGCTGATGAATCACTAAAAGCCTACATTGAACGTTTCAGCCAGGAAATGAATTATGTGGAACGGTACACTGATAGTGATGCTGTGGCCGCAATTCAAGAAGGACTTCAGGAATGTGATATGCTGAAGTCAATTTGCAAAAAACAACCAAAAATCTTCACCGATCTCGTGATCCGAGCTCAGAAGTTCATTAGCGCTGAAGAAACCATGCGCAATCGGAGAGGACAATCTCAAACGGATTAATCAAAAACTGATGGAAAGCAGAAGGTAGAAGAAGGATCTAAAGGAGGAGAAGGAAAAAAGCAAAAGTCAGAGGCACAACAAGACATGAACAAATCGAAGACTGCCTTGATGCAAAAGTTCCAAGCTTACGCTCCACCAGATACGACAAGGGCCTACACACCCTTGAATACGACAGTGGCACAGATTTTAATGCAAATTCAACATCGCAATTTGCTGACTCCTCTAGCCCCTATGAAGGGAGATCCTAACAAGAGGGATAAAAGTAAATATTGTTACTTCCATAAGGACCATGGCCATGAAACCTCAAGTTGCTTTCAATTAAAAGGATAGATTGAGGCACTCATTCAACAAGGCCAATTGCAAGAGTTTGTGGACAAAGTGATAGCAGAAAGAAGAATTGCACTCCCAACAACAATGGGAAAACAAGCAGTGGTCGCACAGGGAACGAATACAATAGTTGGGAATAATTCTGCGTTGAATGAGGTCATGACAATTTTTGGGGGACCAGAAACTAGTGATTCCATGCGGGCTCGGAACCTGTATGCTCAAGAAGCTAAAGGTCTCGATTGTGGCCAATTTGTAAATATGACAGAACATGTCACAAAATTTGCAAAGATGGAAAACATCACCATAACCTTCACAGAAGAGGAGGCAAGGAAGTTGCTTCATCCACATAACGATGCCATAGTTGTGTCTTTGCAAGTGGCAAATAGCTTAGTCTATCGAATTTTGATCGACAATGGGAGTTCAGCAGATATACTATTCAAGGATACTTTAACCAAGATCAACCTAGGTGGAGCAAAGTTAACACCCGTGAACACCCCACTCCAAGGTTTTACTGGAGTATGCATCCATACTGAAGGAATGATAACACTCCCAGTTATCATGGGAGAAGGGGACACAAAGGTGACAAGAATGGTAAATTTTTTGGTTATGGACCAACCATCTCCTTACAATGTTATCATAGGGCGACCAACTTTGAATGCCATGAGAGCAATAACATCAACATACCATCTCATGTTGAAATTTCTGACAGAAAATGGCGTTGGAGTAGTGCTTGGCAATCAACAAGAGGCTCGCATTTGCTATGTAAAATCGACCAATGGTAAATATGAATCGAAGGGGAAGGACATAGTCTCTACAATATACCAAATGGACTGAGATTTACCAGCAAACGTGCTTGGAGATTTGAGTGACATATAGAATTTTGGAGAACTCGACCCACGTAAAGAGCGTGCGAAACATGGGGAGACTGTAGAAGAACTGGTGTCGATTCCATTAGACGAATCCTAACCTGAGAGGGTAGTGCAGATAGGCTCTAAGTTGTCATCACCTTTACGTGAATAGCTGATAACTTTTCTTCAGGAATACAAGGATGTCTTTGCTTGGTCCCATGAGGACATGGCAGGAATTGACCCAAGTGTTATAGTACACCGGCTTAATGTGGACCCGTGTTATAAGCCAAAAGTTCAAAAGCGATGATCCTTCAATCCAGAACGCTACATAGCGATAAATGAAGAAGTGGAGAAGTTGCTTGAAGCAGAGACGATTAATGAGGCGCATTACCCAGAATGGATAGCAAATGTGGTATTAGTCAAGAAAGCAAATGGAAAGTGGAGGGTTTGCATTGATTATACGGATCTGAACAAGGCGTGCCCAAAAGATTGCTTTCCACTTCCACGGATTGACCAACTCGTGGACGCTACAGCGGGGCATGAGTTACTCAGCTTTATGGACGCATATTCTGGGTATAACCAAATATACATGCACAGGCCTGATCAAATCAAAACTACTTTTACAACAGACAGAGGTCTTTTCTGTTACAGAAGGATGCCCTTTGGATTGAAAAATGCTGGGGCAACATATCAAAGATTGGTGAACAAGATGTTCGCAGAAAAGATAGGAAAGAATATGGAAGTGTATGTAGATGATATGCTTGTCAACAGTTTGAAGGCAACAGACCATGTGCAGGATTTAAAGGAAGCCTCGATATTCTTCGGAAGTACCAAATGAAATTGAACCCAACTAAGTGCGCCTTTGGTGTGGAGTCGGGTAAATTTCTTGGTTTTAAGGTGAACCACCATGGAATCGAGGCTAATCCTGCAAAGATCAAAGCGTAGCTAGAAATGAAGTCCCCTCGCTCAACGAAAGAAGTTCAACGATTAACTGGAATGGTAGCCGCACTTAACAGGTTCGTTGCTCGCGCAACTGATAAATGTCAACCATTCTTTCAAGCTATCAAGAAGGGAAAAGATTTTGTGTGGGAAGAAAAATGTGAAAAAGCATTCAACGACCTTAAGGCATATTTGGGTAAGCCTCCGCTCCTTACAAAGCCAAAGCTCAGTGAAGAACTCTATCTCTATCTTGCAGTGTCTGAGCATGTAGTTAGTGCAGTATTGATTCGAGAAGAAGAAAAAGTGCAATGGCCGATTTACTATGTTAGCAAAGCCCTGCTAGATGCGGAAACACATTATCCTGAAATGGAAAAGTTGGCCTTGGCACTGATCATGTCACGCCCCCCAAACGGGGTGGGTGACGTGGAACTCGATTTGAGATTAATAAAGCAGATTCCCAACCGGGTCCCACACTTAACTGCATTAAAATATAAATGAATTACATAATCCAGGAGCCTCTGACACACAGGGCTCCACCCCACAGGACATACAGTATCGTACATACATGCACATGTAAATAATCAATTACAACAGACATCATCCACAGTCTAGTAAATCCAAATGTCATTTATTACAAATTCTTACATATTCCTTACACTTTA